TCAACATGTTACCATTAAGCCACTGGGTAGGGATCTAATGCTCCATATTTCCTACCTGTCAGTTCACTATATGACACAAACTACATCCAATCTCGTCCTTGAGTATCTGTCCTCATATCTGGGGATTTATTGTTTGTTTTCAGGTTGGTATTCATCATGGAGTGGGTAACTAGTTGAATAATCATTGCTGCTGGAGAGTTGTAGCAACAATCTACTATAGATACCAGTTATGAAGGCACTATCCTTGTTATTATTACTAGATCCATCAGGCGTGTTTGAGTAACCATGATAAAAGGCATAGCAGAGTACAACACCAAGGTTTATTCATTTATCTGAAAACGTGTAATAATCTAATGAAGATGTAGACTAGTTATACTCAACGTGAGATACTAACTACGGTATGTAACATTGAGGATGACAGGAATGTATGGGTCAAGTGGTGTGGAGTCCATACTTTAGTACAACTGTTGTTCAGTGTTCTCAGGTTTTTAGTGGTTCTCCAACCGATATCGCTTCTCAATGAATGCTAAATTCAAAATATTAAATCCCACCAAACCTCTAAATTGAATAAGATGACACAGTTATTATGAATGAGTAAACACAACCAAACAAAAATTGAAAAACAGTTACTTATATAACGTGAACAACTAATCTCCATTTACAACTAAGACTAGATGTCAAACTTACTTAATTACGAAATAGTTATCATCATCTTTCAATTCCAATGATCATTTAATTTTTAAAAATAAGAGGAAAAGTTTGTTATTGATCGCCTGTGTTCACTTACGAAGGAGGGACTCAATTCACCTTCACTGCTGTGTATAGTCTTCTGCATTCTGTAGGTGATGGATCCTGAGTAAATTCTCGGTGTGAATATAATCTGATAACAGTAGGTGAATAATACATGTGTAAAGACAACCTCTATACTTACTGTCATCATCATTATCAACATAGGACCAGGCATTACTGTGTAACGGTCCGAGTTGCCACACCTCATATCAGCACATCAAGTAAAAAGGTAGTGAGGTGAAGGATGAAGATAAGTGAATGCAGTCAAAAGAAATATAAAGTACGAAAAGAAAAGAAAGGGGAGTGACAAAATAGTGAGATTCGGTATAGCGTTGTTAAGATGAGGATAATGTGTGTATACATCTGCGCCACTGACTTCGGTTCTGAGCCATATCACCTAGGGTCTCCAACCACTGGTTCCTCTTGTCCCGTGGACCCCAACCACCTAGTCTGCATCGTCCTACATGGCTTAAACCAACAGTCAGAGACTTCATACATTGGTGCCATGTTTTAGTCTGGCCACCTCGGGCCTTTTTCCAGCCTGGACCCACCTCAGCCAACATTGTGTGACGAGGCAATCGGTGACTAGGCATACGTAGTACGTGTCCCAACCATCTCAGTCGATGAAGGTTCACAACCTCGTCGAATGACTTACCTCTTCTCCCCAAAACTCTACACCTAACTTCTGCATTACTCATGTGGTGACACCACGGAATACGTCCTATACTACGAAGGCAACGGTGGTCAAACACCTGAAGCCTTTTTGTACCCTCCACTTTCAATGGCCATGTTTCACAGCCATACAGTAGAACAGAGCGGACTGCTGTGCAGTACACGCGACCCTTAATAGACAAACGAATATCACGGCGGCGCCATAGGTGGCGCAAATTGGCAAAAGCCAATCGAGCCTTTTGTATCCGTGCAGAAATCTCATCGGCAACTAACCCACCGGGTTGATCCTACTTCCCAGGTAAGTGAAGTGGTCAACACACTCAACCACTTCACTCTCTATTGTTAACCGCGGTACCGCTGAAGACCAGTCCTGGAGCAAAAATTTGCATTTGGGTGGTGAAAATCGCATCCCAAACATTCTCAAATTCCCACTCAAAGTGTTCAGAAGACTCTGCATCTTGTCAGCGTCTTCACCTAACAGGACTATGTCATCTGCATATTCTAGATCTAAAGAAAATTCACCTGTGATTGGGTCAACGTTTTTGTAATTAGGTGACGAGAGGGAAACCTCCATAAGAATATCTATGATAAAATTAAATAAGAATGGGGATAGTGGGCATCCTTGACGGACACCACTTGATGAGTATAGCTCCCTGGACAACTCACCATAGGCTCTAACATGCCCACAAGTGTTCGAGTAGAGAGCTTTCAATAAGGTGATGTACTTACTAGGCACGCCTTTCAGTGACAGACACTGCCATAAGACTTCTCGATCAACGGAGTCAAATGCCGCCTTCAGGTCGAGAAATACAGCTATTGTCGGGCGTCTGTAAGCATGCCTATGTTCCAGGACCTGGCGCAGTGTGAATATTTGGTCGATACATCCACGGCCAGGTCTAAAGCCTGCCTGCCTGGTTTTCTCGGGCTTGCTGTTCCCGAGCTCCACTCAGGCATCTATACTTACTGTACTTACTGTCAACTGTATGATAGTCACATAACCTTACCATTCAGTTGATTGCTTGAAATGTAGTGATCAGCTTGTTCATCCTGAGTTAATTCACACCACAGTAGAACTGTCATTCAGAGTTATCACTTGACAACAATTCACTCTTTCAGCGTGGTAGAAGAAGTGATCCTAAGAAGTGGATATATGGATCTTTCCATTTATGATTTTGAGTATATTATAGCCTTCCTATATTTCCGTAGTATAAGATATACATAAATTTGGTGCTGGATACTGTTATGTGTGTGTGTGTTTCACTTGACTAATGTTCATAAACGAATTACTGATGAAAATCCTTCCATAAACAGTTACTTATCACTCACTGACGTGACAAGCCATCAGAACTTTCGGTTATCAGGTGAAATTGACATTTGATTTCACAACTCAGTCGGAATGATTTCTGTTTTGGTAATCTACAAGTTTCGGTTTCGAATTCTGTTACACTAGGATTTCAGTCCACTTTTAATCACCACCACCACATTACATAGAAGCCAGTATGTTCAACCAAGGCTATCTCTGATGGTCCTATCAGAAAACTGTTATTGTCAATAATCAAACTGTTCATCTGTACATTGCTTAATAACTGAGATGAAATTTAGATGTCAAGATGTTCTAAATTATTGTTGAATTTTATTGGTAAATATCCAGTCTCATTTCCCATTTGGTGTTCAATACGATTTCCAGATATTTTGGATCATTTCAATTCTTGGTGAATTTTCTACTTTACAGATTAACCGGTAGTGCAGATTTCTTTCAGTTATCGATGAGAAAGTGAATACAAGTGATGAGATGACGATTACTCTTAGACGCACTCCATATAGATTTCCCACCTACCAACCGACACTAAGTAATAGATTATCCTCATCTAACCAGATCTAAGCACATGTCCCTGAAAACTATGTACGCAAAACATAAACGATAACTATAAGAGTTTAGTAGTTGATAATTGTATGTCAATTTAACTGTCTGACATAATCGTGGCTTGGAAGACTCTCATTATTGATACTGGGTGGTGATTGGAGGATTCAAACCACAGAATTCCGGATTTCCTGCCCAGTGCTTTACCAGCTGATCTGTGTGACCCAGATGCAAACCGGATCATAATTTCACTTCAATCACCAAGGGTTTTGCCCGACTTCTATGTGATTTCGTGTTGCGCTACTATCCCCTAATCGTGTTCATACTGGCTGTGCAGCCAGGAGTTCTCATCCTAATCTAAGCAGAGCTGAATTAGAAAGGGGAGAATCATACTGAATATCACAAAAGCATATTGACACAGTTGATTTGTTTTACTGTGTTCATCTAAAACTGACGCTTTGTCTTCAATACACTAGAAACTTTACAACTCTGAACTGACAGAGGTAGGAAATGTGGAGCATTAGATCCCTACCCAGTGGCTTAATGGTAACATGTTGACCACAAATCCTGAAGGTCATGGGTTCGATCTCTGATGGGGTGGAGTTATGGGTGTACGTACACCATTGAGGTGTCGGATACTAGGACGAGATAGCTGTCCAGTACTCCGAGGTTTCCAATGTTTCTCCAACTGATGTCAGTCTATGATGAATACCAACCAACCTGAAATCAAACCTCAGAAGTGAACTATGATAAATATCAATAACTCAAGGTAATGAGGTTTTTAAAAATTTTTCCACCTCAGCTTAAACTTCAAAATTTACCTTTTCCACAAACAATCAACATAACAAAACAGAAATAAAAGGCAAAAACCAAAGTTCATATACCTCCGTACGCACATCTAATGGTCATTATACAATTACAATGAAAAATAGAATCATGGTGACAAATAAAATCTTGTTATTGACGCTTAGGTGAAAAATGTGTGTATATTCGTGAGCTTTGTTGACGCCATCAAGCGATAAGAAATTGCTTGAGGAAACAAACTCTTGAAGATAGAATTTCAATAGGAAGTTTATGTTTATCTGACTGTATAATATGCTTTGTGTACTATGATCAGCTGGTAATTGATATATTGAACATTTAATATCGAAATAAACTTGTACTGGTTACATTATATGCCTATCTTTCAACTGATCTCCTAAACACATACATACACAAAAAAGAACAACATGATTAGGGGGAACTTGTACGAGAAAATATTTTTCTTTTTTTTTGATACATTTTGATATAATCACATTACCAAAATGATAATAACTGTAGCCAGAGTAACTTGTTATTACTGATGTTTGTATATGTGATAGTGTGATACAACTTATAAGTGAAGTAACATATTTTCAATAATTTATTTGCCTCTAAATCATACTACTTATATTGTATTTGATACTACTTAAAAACATGAATAGAATACGATTATTGAAGTGTAGTGACATTTTAATTGACCTACAACTTGAAAAGGTGTATGTGTATAATGAGTTATTCAGGCAACATAATTTTGACTGGATATTCCACTACTGGATTATCTTTAGATAGAACATGGTAAAATGATTATCAAGTATTAATACAAATGAATATCTTGATAAATAGTTATCATTTCGTTTTCTTTTTTCTGTCTATACAGCATCATGATTATTCACATTCAGTATTGAAAGGGAATGCATTTGCTGGAACACGAGCTGTACTTAATCAGAGGTTAAATGAATTACGTGCACTTAGTCGTTCTGGTGTTTCAACAAATGGTATATTTGGATCTTCAATTACTAATAACAAACGAACATCAGGATCTGGTGATGATTTAAATCTTGATAATCGATCAATAAATTATTCTAGAAAAAATAACTCAAATACAAATACATTAACTTCAGCTGATCTACTTCAAGCAGGCATTCTTGGTACTGATAACCCTCAGGTAAGTAAAAATTAGTTTAAGGACGAATTTCTAATAATTTTTGTTCGAATTTTAAATCAGTTTCCTATCATCTTTGAACTTAAAATGTAGGTAGAGATAGTTAAAATGTTTTAAAATATGGTAGCGTTTCCTGTTGATATTAGCAGGCAAATTAGGTGAAATATAAAGAATACTTGAGTGATAAACATATCCATTTACTATTATTATTCATGTTTCATAAGATGGAACTATTCAACTGATTGATGTAAACAACGTGGTTGCGTTTGCAGCGACTGGTCCCAGGTTTTAGTTTCACTGTGAATACTATCACTCACTGTGACGCCGGTGTATCTAACCAACGGATCCCAAATAGGATGAAACACACGTCCTCAATTCCACTCCTAGCCAATTCCCATAACTACTACTTAAAAGAAGTCAATTACACAACCTATTGAAGATGGATCTTTTTTGTATATGAAGTGGTTTTAACGCTTCAGTTCTCTGTAGTTGATGATTCTGGATACACCATCAGTGAGCTGGACCTCCGTCACTCAGATTATCTTAATTTGGTTAGATGGCACTGCACTCATTTTAACTGGTGATACATGTCGCACCAGGAAAACTTTGTTTATTTCAGTTAAGTCGCCTGGTGATCCTAGTCTATGTATATGTCTTCACCAGTGACAATATGACAAGTCCTGACTTTTCACGTGATTTAATCACCATTAAGATAAGTCTAGATCATGTATCTGTACAGTTACTATTGACTGGACGATTAAATTAAAATTTCGATTTCTAGTTTGCTTACTTTCTAGAAAGCTATTCACCCTCTGATTGTGTACTACAATCGTCACCACTGTGATTTCAAAAGATCAATCTACATCTTAACAACATACTACTTCACTAGTTCTATTTGTTGCCATATCAAAATGTTAATAAGATTTCGTTTCATATAAAGTCAATCCGTATACCATTTATCATAAGAAAATGCATTGCATCTTTGGTCAAATAGAAACTTTATATATATATATATATATATATATATATATATATATATATATATATATATATATATAATATTATAACAGACGACTTGTCTAATTTTCAGCCCAAAAATTTGATATCCAGCTGTATACAAATGTAACGTAATTCGAAACTCTAATTTATTGCTTCAAATTCAGAGTTAATTAATTCACTCTACATATATATTATATATAAACAGAAAATCTGTGTTTCTTTCCATTATAAAACCTCACTGACTTAAAAGGTTAATGGAAAACATTGTAGCTTCGGTATAACTCTATGTGTGTATGTTTAACTTGCTGATATGCTTATAGTTTTTTGGTGAAATATAAGACCACATCTCAGCCAGGTTTATATTTGAACAGCATCATACTATCTACTGAGATTTACTTATAAGGATGCATTTAAGTAGTGTAAGTAGCAATGTCGATCGGTTAGTAAGAAATCAGGCAAATAGAACATACCATATTGGATGGAAATATAAAGCTCAAATGGTGTGCAAAATGACATTCAGAACAAGAGATTATTTGCAAATTGATAAATTATTGTTAGGCTTAGTTACTTTGCCATTAACAGGTGTATTTACCAAGTAGGCGGTTAACATCTTTCCATTGTGGTATACCTAAATGTTAAGAAGTCATTGCGGACTATACTTCAAACTAGCCCCCATGGTTGAAGACTGTCCACGTAGGCCAGTAGCCATCACAAGTCGCACCAAGGTTGTTGAAACACAGGATTATCACTTTGTTCGGAATGGATCAAATAAGCGATCTTGTCCACTTGTTTCACTTTTACCATGGACCGTATAATATTGTATGCACTTCATTTAACTGTAGGTAAGGATTCTTAATTTACTTGTAGTAATCTGGGTATCACTTGCTGTTTAGCTTTGATCTGTAGGTAAAATTTTCCCATCGTAAACGTCTTACTAACTGTTAACTGATTAGATCCAATGGACAAAGGGCTGTCGACATTTTGCTTATTGGCACTGATGGAGGATGTAGCCTTGAGGGAAATGATGCCGTCCAGTCATGAGGTAAAAGATGTTACTGGTGAACTGTTTCGACAGCAACTAACTTCTTATAAGAATGGAATACCTATGTTACTATTCAGTGAACGTTTAGGGAATCTAATCACGCCCTAATGAAGATCAGTTACCTTCTAAATGGCTCAGTGGTAGGTAGGTTTAGCTCTTAAAGAAAGTGACAGTCCCCTCTTAATCATAGATGCACCAACAGAAATCATGAAATCTAGGATTTCTTACGCATTTTCTCCGACAGTCCCAAATCGAATAATGTGTACCCCGTTGGTGAGTGTCGTAGCTTAGTAGTAAAAATACAAAACCTGTTTGATAGGATTCCTCTGGCAATCAGGATTAGACCACACAAAAATGGTTACTGTTTTCTGTGACTGATCATTGTAGTGATTTGTTTCGTAAACCATGTCCACTTAAAAAAATCTAATCTGAACAATTGGTTTATTTTATACAACAGGCAATATTAAACAGTTTGTGGCTGATGAATCGAACTCAGTTCAATATTGGTGGTACACAACGACATCGAAATCTTGTCTGGGGTCAGTTCCAGTTGGTAACAGATGAAAATGGAATTAAAGCAATTAAATTTACACCTTTATTTGAATCTGCCGAAGTGCGTTATTGTCGAGGATATGGTGGTACACGTGGTGGTGCAGCTAATCACGATCCTTTGGCTAAATCTCAACCGCTTAGTTGTACTGGTAGTGCGAAACGTCAGCCGCTTCCATTCAACTGCGTTGAAATGTTTGAAATCTATGCAAATTTACGACCACTAGAGGCTCGTGGTGTCTCTGAGCCCTTTTACTTATGTCCAGATCCAAGTTGGGAGCATGGCTGCAATTGGTTTAAAACGAATGCAGCTGGATCTCAACTTTTATCACGTATTCCACGTCTGCTTGGGCTGAAGCCATCAAGGGAGCCGATTCAACCGTCTACCCTAAATTCAAACATAGTCAATAAAATGTATGCACAAAATCCAATAACTAGTCAACACAAAGATCCTGAAAAATTAACTCTGGACTCTTCTAGTCAGCCTATACCCAATTCTTCTGGTTATCGAGATCACCATCAGACTCCATCAGCATATAGCTATTTCAGTAGTGGTAGTCATTCAAACTGTAACAAAGATTTAGTTCCGTCGAATTTGCTTAACTTTTTCCCTTTCCTTTTTCCGCCAACAGCAACAACCTATGATTCAGGAACACTGTCCACCAACAGTTTGCCAACCTATCGTTCGTTATTTAATCCATCTATCCCATTTCCTGACATTACTCAAAGTGTAAATTCAAGCCTATTCCAACCATCTTTTAAAAATAATCATGTAGACACTGGCAAACAAATCAACAACCATGATATTCTTCAGGCTAAAGAAAATAATAACCATTTCCCCTTTTCTGTGCAACAAGTCGAACAAGATTTCTATAGAACAAATTCCCTGGCAAGTAAAGCTTCACCGATACAAGCCGAGGAAGATGGACAACGAGATAGAGGGTTAGCAGTGGAAAAAGTAACAAAAGACGGAGAAGAGGATGGAAAATTGGAAAAACCAAATTCAAATTGTTTTTCCTCTCCACCACCATCTATTGAACCAGATATTGAGAATCTATCTACATCGGATAATTCCCCGAAACTATTGACAACAATGCCTACAGGAGTTGAAGAAGATTCAATTCATTCACCAGTTAGTGAGCATTATGCATCCGGTTCAAACATTTCACGTCATTCACCGGTTTCTTCGTCATCATCACCTTCTTCGTCATCCCCTTCAACTGTTACTGAACATTTTAACCGGAGAAGACACAATCATCATTACAATCCCGTTCGCAACAGACGACAACAAGAACAGCCAAATGAAATGGAGGACATAAATTCATCTTCATCAAGAATGGACAATCCTCACCAACACCATGAAAGAGTCAGTGAATTCGACCACACACCAGCAGATTATAGTAATTCTTTAAGGAAGGTGTCTCAACAGTTAATTTCATCCCGGTTAACTACCTCGCCGTCATCCTTATCATCATCAGTGGTATCAGTGACACCATCGCCAAAAAGTCATAATTTAACTCACTGTAAAGTCGAGAGAACAAGTTACGTTTGAAAAGAGCAGATTATTTACATATTATTCTTAAATTGTATTTCTTTTCATTTTTGCATCATCTTTGTTAGAAGAAAGTAAAAGGGAAAGAAAATACTCAGTACAGTTTCATGTTAGCATGTCTCTGTGTTTCCCAGAATCTTAATTTCATCAGAACTGATCAAACGCACAAAAATGAGGTGATCATTGGGGCGATTTCCCCCTTACTTCATAGTTCTTTTCTATTCTTTTTGCTTTAATTCAAACTTCAGTCGTCCCCTTGTTTACTTCACCATTATAATTTTTTGCGGTCAGGAAGATGAGTTATATACTGTTATATTATTATTCCTATTGCATTTGTATATATAGAAGAATGTGAAGTTTTTATCAGTGCATTCTTTCCTTTCCGCTGTCCCCCTCTTCATCGTGTTGTCCAAATATCTCATTCTGGGGGGGGACTCTATCGACGTATTTCAATGACAGAAAAACGACGCCCTTAGGGGTGGCTAAACGCACAGGTTCCTTCGGTTTTATTCACACTATATTTGATTTTGAAACTTGAATCACAGAGGCTACTACTATTACTACTACTCATACTACAACAGTTTTTATTGTTATCATTGTCATTGTTATTACCTATACGGATGATACTTGTATTACAGTCATGTATTGTTATAGTTAACGTGGGGCTGATACGTAACACTGTGATCTGTTAGTCTTACTATCAGCCTTATGCCAATTGTATGACGAGACAATTACTGATATGCATGCATATGAATATACATTTACGTTAGCCTGTATCCTTTACCCGTCTGAATTTCCCCCTTTGTATACTTTTTACCCACATTCACATAAGATATTTCACTTTATTAAAAGGTTGTTCAATGATTAATGGCAATTATAATTGTAATTATTAATTAGTAATTGTTTTGAAAAAGATGGAAAGTGGCGGTAAATCATAATAAAATGGTTTTCTTTACCGATAAAACTTAAATGAAATTTAGATGGGGAAGCTTGAACAGATGTCTGTAGTATTCCTGTTAGAAACTGTAGTAAACGTATCACCGTTGAGCTAATATAGACAGATAGGTCCTTTTTATGATATAACACAGGTGCAATATACTTTATCAATTCCAACTTCTTTGACCGCATAGTTAAGCGACTTTACCAACAAACAGGCTTACTACTATGCAGTGAATACCTCTTGGTAGTTTAAGCTGTTTACTCATCTTATTCTATCAAGGAGTGAAAGCTATCTTCTTGTCATGCTTAGGTTTATATGGGATGAAGAAGTAACCTGTTTTCATAAAAATAGTCATATTCTAGATAGATAATTACACATGAAAAATACTTGTGAATTTCGCTGCAAAATATCTATGGGTTCAGCAAAAGTTTTAAAGTTGACAGACTACAACTTCCGTGTTTTTAACTAGTAAATATGTACAATGAATCATTTTATCATTTTAACTATGTCAGATAGCCGTGGTCCAGAAGACTTGTGTTGATACTGGGTAATAATTGAATGTGAAATGAAAATCTGCGCCTTGGCAGGATTCGAACCGGCCTAGTTACATGTCTAGTTCTCCATTGGGTTTTGTAGCCTGGTTTGTGGAGCACCCGGCCGGCAATCCAGAGGTTCCTGGTTTGAATCCCACCACGGCGAAGATTTTCAATTCACCTCCAATCATCACTCGAAATCAGTTTATCACATCCCTTCTCATTAATATGGAAACAGTAGATGACGTATGATATATTCACTATAAGACATAACTTTTATGAAATTAATGGCTAGTTAAAAAACGTTCAGGCAGTAGAGGGGCGATGATTTTCATTGTAGAATAGATGTTTATAATATCTACTCATCTAAATTACTGTTACACAGCTATTTTGGCCAGTTTTAAGTGTTATGCTTTTAATGAAATCCGTATTTACCGAATTGTAAACTAGGCTATGAATCATATTAGGAGTTTTACGGCAGATAATATTACGTAGTCGTTAAGACTACAGTAGACAAAGCATGATTCAATCTAATAACCTGTTGAGTGAAAATATACAGTTTAAACATGTGAGCCACTTTTCTAAGAAGTGTTATATTGACGTCTTGTCATCTATCAAGTAAATTAACCCATTTTAGAGGAAATTCTGCATTATTTTTCAAACCTGTGCTCAAAGTTGACGGAATGTCGATGCCTCCTTTCTCTGAAAATTAACAGGCAATTTCCTTACCTCTGATTGGCCACTTCGGGGACGAAATGATTTTATTACTTAGTTGTAATAACCCCCATAGAGCATTAGTAGCGGTTGAGACACTCTTGAATCAGTCGCGATAGTGTTAGTAATCCTTAGCTGATTCATGACATACTGTTTCCAGTCAAAAGAAACAATCTATCTCTACTATTACAAAATAACAGATTGATCACACAATGATATGCATGTCACTTTGACGATAAATTAAATCAAGGGGTGAGTAAGGCTGATAAAAGATGTGAGTCATAATATAACTCAAACTGGAGTGCCATTACTGCACCAATTGGGCTTCAAGATAAAATGGCTAACCAGGCATCAGTATCACTACATCAACTAAGACATGACATCATTCTAGATAAGTTCCTTAAGGATACTCTACAGAAATTACCATTCATGTGATTCCTACTTTGAATACAACTCACAATCTATAGTCACCAATACAGGGAGGAATGCCATCACACGTGTCTATAAAGGACCTCATAATGCCTCGTCATCAAAAACTAAGGTGTTTGATATAACGTGAAGATCTCGAAATACTTCGCGAATGTATGACACACACTCTTCAAAATCACTACGGGAACCTCTTAAGCTATTCGGACATCAAAATTAATTGAGAAAGAATGTAAAAGTGTACGATTGGTGGACTTACAGACACCTGAATTTGGTGAAATTCGCTTGTGATTTGATGTAGGGGAGAGGAAAAGATAGGTTTGTAGAGGATTCAGATCTGGGCTGGGATTGACGAACGACATTAACAAAGAAGTGATTTTCCCCATTCTACCGTACCTCCAATAAGCAAGTGGGAAGATTTGAGAGAGGTTAGGAATTAAGAAAAGCAAGTTAAAATTGGTGCTTTTGCAGAGTAAATCACTGACAATTTTTTCGCATCCAGAATATCTTCTGGTTTTGTTTAGTTTACTACTATAAGTAAGCAAGTCGAATTCAGAAATAATTATTTTCCTACAATCTGTTTGTGTTTATGATTGTAGTCATGTTCAACTATTTTCCTGCAATCTGATAGCAAGGTTATCACTCTGTTAGGAAAGCTTATGCAGAAATGGAACAGTAAGTAGGACTTTGAGATGAAATCTGAGGTCTCAGTCTATTTGTAATCCTCTCAGTAATAAAATCTTTAACTTCATTGTCCCGGCATACACATAAAATAATTTTGGCAAATATTTTCATGGGATAAAACCTTGTAGTACAAGGTAACGTTAGTGATTAAGTTAGATTTGAGTGAAAGACTAGAAGTCTAAAAGCATGAAGAATGAAAATCTAGTATCTCAAATTTATATCAGTAAACTGATCAGGAATATAACTACTTCATTCTTCTTCATCTGTGAAAGAATCAAATTTTACATGAAGAGACAATAAATGATGTGACTGCAGAAAATTTGAAAGTCAATACTCAGAGAATCCGAAAAGTATTTTTACATGTTGATTACCGTGATCCAGAGTCACTTAGCTATAACTGTTCCTGAAAAAAATTCAACATATTTGTTTAGAATTACACGCCATGCTCTCAGCTTATTGTTTACTTATTCCACGGAGTCGCTCTCGCCTTACTCATATGGTAATTTGAAAGGAACCAGTCTTGTGAATGATGGTTGGGGTTCCAAAGAAAGGGACTCTGCTTTATTCAAGTGTCCAGCTACTTGGTAAGTAGGTACAATTGCAATCCCGAGTTTACTTTTGTTCCTTCGAATATTTAAATGGTTTTCAAATTATGGCGTTCTGGTACTAAGTACCCACTGTTGGACTAGAATGCATAAATGAATTAGTCCCCACAGGGTCAGCAACGCAAATTTGAGAGTTCAAGGTGCCGAATGATAATTATAGACTGCCAATCAAGCGTACAAATCAACATTCTTGTGGGGTTCAATTGTTTGAACATGAATACAATCATAAACACAAACAGATTGTAGGAAAATAATTATTTCTGAATTCGACTTGCTTACTTATAGTAGTAAACTAAACAAAACCAGAAGATATTCTGGATGCGAAAAAATTGTCAGTGATTTACTCTGCAAAAGCACCAATTTTAACTTGCTTTTCTTAATTCCTAACCTCTCTCAAATCTTCCCACTTGCTTATTGGAGGTACGGTAGAATGGGGAAAATCACTTCTTTGTTAATGTCGTTCGTCAATCCCAGCCCAGATCTGAATCCTCTACAAACCTATCTTTTCCTCTCCCCTACATCAAATCACAAGCGAATTTCACCAAATTCAGGTGTCTGTAAGTCCACCAATCGTACACTTTTACATTCTTTCTCAATTAATTTTGATGTCCGAATAGCTTAAGAGGTTCCCGTAGTGATTTTGAAGAGTGTGTGTCATACATTCACGAAGTATTTCGAGATCTTCACGTTATATCAAACACCTTAGTTTTTGATGACGAGGCATTATGAGGTCCTTTATAGACACGTGTGATGGCATTCCTCCCTGTATTGGTGACTATAGATTGTGAGTTGTATTCAAAGTAGGAATCACATGAATGGTAATTTCTGTAGAGTATCCTTAAGGAACTTATCTAGAATGATGTCATGTTTCTTGAAGTGTCAGGTTACTACTGGTTAGCATTCCTGCATGAAACTTGTACCCGAATTGAGTTTTATTGACCATCTTCTTTACGTGAGTGAATTCATTTTGTTTTTGCAAATATTTCAATTGAGCCAAATCAATATGATTTCGACTGCTGACTTGCAGACTCAAACAGTAAATTGTAATCGGATACTGGTCACATCTAATGAATACGATATCACCGTTCTATTCAGGTTTTGGGGTTGTTATAGGTGGAATGGCATGAGACTTATGGTAGAGTAGCTGTTTTTTGAATGTAGGTACTGCGAGCTGAGACGTCTAAACCTGAATAACACGTGTATTTCCATCTACTACCTCAGACATCATGGTCTCAATATTGAAGTTTTTGATTTTCTTACTTCTTTTTGTATTGAGTTTGTGTAGTTGCCAACTTTTCCTGAAGATTTGTTATGTGAGAAGAACTGGAGGAGTGCTTCATGCTTCAACTGGTCGCATGTTATATCCGAAGTGACTGGACCTTGCAGTATATGCTTATCTTTATATATAAATATATTTTTTCTGTGTCGTGTGCTGAATCATTGTTGCTTGTTTTGGTGTACAGGAATAGCAGTACCCTAGATTTTGTTATGGAAACTTTATCTCCTGGATTACAATTCAAATGATTAGGTTAAACTTTGCAGAGCTGCACTCTCTAGATTAATTGCAATTGCATTACTCATTCTATGTTCGTTAATAGTCAGTTATGCCAATACCACTTCCACTGGATATCACTTACCAAAATCTAAAGAACCTACTCTACAGTTTCCAACTGCTTCTGTTTTTTTCAGTAGTATATTCTGCTAAACTCGTAATAGGTTGTTTCAACGAATATTTATAATGTTTGTTGTATGTGCATCACACAGAAATGGTTGAAACGACCTGATCAAGAAGGAGAAATGTAATCGACAGTTAACATACTCATGATTTATGTGATGGTAGGTAACAGTGGGACTTAGGAAGACCATTCCATCCTATTCGGGAGTCGTCAGCTGTAGACACATGCACCCTAGTGTGATGGCATCCTCAATAGAGCTAGAACCCCGAACCTGCCA